AAAAAAAAAAAAAAAAAAAAACAACCACTCGAAAGATTCACAACTTCCTATTCGATACGAAACCATTCAGCTTCATCGAGCAAACACGACTCGTAGCATCGCTTCATTTCCATCCGCTGGTGCCTTATAGCGTACAACGAGGAAATTGTCCCGTAACGAGCCTCTAAATTCCCATTAAACGAGGCCAGCGTGAAAAAGTGGACGGCGACGAAAAAGCGGTGGTGGACTGTGAGGCGTCCTTGCGGACAACGCTCGTGTCGTCGTGTAATTGAGAGACATTCAGAGTGCATTAGCGCTGCTGGCCAGGGGGCAGGCAGGCGTATTAATTGCTCATCAGCAGTAATGAAGGGTTTGTAAGCCGATATTAGCATAACTAACAGGTTTCCCGGTAATGAAGCCACGCTCACGGTCACGATGCCACCGGTCTCTTTATGTCTTTCTGAACCCTCTCGACGGGCCGGCGTACAGCGGCCGGATGGATCTTTCATTATGAGAAGAACTATCTTAGATATTCCCTCTGTGGAACATGATTTTGAAGCGGAGAGGATTCGAATGCGAGTGGAAAACTTTGAAAGAATCGTTTGAACTCGTAACTCGATTGTTATAGATACATTCTTTCTGGAGAATTTAACATGATGGGTACGATTGGTTAGGTTAGGTTAGGATTTTTTGATTGTTATATTTTTTACGAAGAATATAATATTCTAGGCACAATTGGATTAGATCAGGGTTTCTAAACTATTACAGTTTTTATGAAGAGTAATTTCTAAGTAATTTCTAAGTTGCAATTAGTTAGGTTAGGTTAGGGTAGGAATATGGAATCATATTGAACTTCATATTGATTCGATGATTTAGGAAAATTTGAAAACTTTACGGAAATGTAGTTCAAATATTTTCGAAATCGTATAAAATGGTATACATTTTAAAAATTTTCTAGGATCAAAACAAGTAAAAATAAATAAACTAGAAGAATGGATTTTCAAGCAGAAAACAAAACGATAAAATCTCGTTTCAAGTTCGAAAGGTGGAATGCGAAAGAACTCGTTTATTTCGATTTCATGTTTTTCTGAAGAGATAGTGTTCGATGATAGCTAACTCTTAATTAGCGAGACGTGTTTTCGAGACGGTAGCTGATTCGAGGATTTCTGTTGTTGATTTCCACGTGGAATGCAAGTGCCGCTCTGGCAACCCGATGTTTGTTAAGCTTATTCAAACATGGATTACGATGGTTATTAAAGCAATTCAACTAATTGACGTTCGCTTAATAAGACTGTACAGGGAAGAACATAATTATATGTACAAAAGAGATTTGGTAAATAGTAGTTGTTCGATTCTTAATAAATTGCTCGTTCGAAAATAAATTGCCTCTTCGAGATTTAATAATATGAATATAATACGAACAAGTATGTAATAACGAGGAAGAAATATTTACACAAAGATGTAAAAAAAAGAAAAATTAAATAATATCGTAACACGGATTACAATCTGTAATAATTAATAGACGATTAAACTATTATTATTTAATCAACCAAGTAAAATTGCACGGAGCATATAAATCAATTTGTTTCAAACGAGATTTTATGAAACGACGGAATTTATTCAAATTCGATCATTAATGTACCAACAATGTTACAATATTGAAAAATCTAAATCCAAATCCTAGGAAGAAACACTCATCGATAAATATAGTTTTCGATCGATCGAAAACTCCGCGCGAATCAGCCTC